AGAAGCTATTTTAAATGCTGTCGGAAATAAAGGGGGGGGGGGCTTGACTTGCTGGTCCAAGATGGTTCTAAATAGCGAAGATAAAGGGTAACGCAGACAGGGAGACCCGCCGCTGCAAGATCCCCAAGGACAAGGAGGTCACCTGGGGCAGAGCTGAGTCTGACGCTGCATCCCATGGCTGTCACTGGGAAAATAATTTCCACATTTCACTGGCTCGTACTCGAGACCAAGCAGTAATGCTTTCGCACAAGTCAGATGACGATAAACTATCAGACACCACATGCGCCTTAACTTCACCAAGCACAAACTGTGACCCTGGCGCCCACACGTGCACCCACACCCAGAGTGAGCTTGTTCTGGGAAACATAAGCCACAGGTCTCTACATGCACCCCGGCCTCTGTCACGTGGGAAGAATCGAGGGGCGCACCCCCCGCAGACATCACGCTCGGCAGAGGCAATTTCTACGAGCTGGTCAAAGTGCAGATTCGGCAGGGGGGTGATGCAAAAGTCCAGCCCCGCTGGCCCTATTTCCGGAGGGCAGTTCTGACTGCTAACGAGGAATCTGCTCAAGAGAAACCCGCCCTGGTCAGAGCAGCACGGCGGGGGTGGCGGGGAGCACTCCCAGCGCAGACATCTCCCCTCTGGCCGAGGCAAGCCTGGAGAGCTGCGAGAGCCGGACCTCTGGCTAATGCCGGCACAGAAGAGAAGGAATTTAAAAATGAACTGACCAGTGACTGCAAGCAAAGGCTTTGCTGTCTGGTGAGACAGATTCACGGCTGGTTTTGGTTTTCTTTAAAAAGGCAAAGGGCAGGCAGCCTGCTGGACGCCAGTGTGCTGAACCAAGCTCCTTCCTCACGGAGAGCTCAAAATACGCCCGTCAAGAAGCTTTGACTGCTGCTGGCGAGTAAAGCCGTAGACGGTCAAAGTTTTCAAAGCCAGGGAGCATCTTAGCGCCCGTCACATGAGTTCTGGCCCACATGGCTGTGTGGGTATTTTTTAAACAGCTTCACAATGCACTTCGGCTGGCTTCACTCTAGCACAAAGGGATTATTAACATGTAAAAAGCGATGTTGTGGCACCTGCAAAGGAAGGTCACTTCTAACCAGTCAGAGCATGCACCGTAATCCCAAGGCTGCAAAAGCTCTGCTGGGGAAAGAAAAAGCAAGCCGATCTGGCGTGATAAACTGGGCCGCCCAGCCTAGCTGCCAAGCGTACGCACATTTCTTGTGAACTCTGCTCTGTGATCAGCCCGCGGGTGCACTGGATGCATTCCTCCACAGTTCTCTGGCACCAACATCTGAATGCGGCCATTCCCTTCATGGGGAAGGCTGGCAAATCCCGACGTTCTTGTCAGTCTTAAAATCAGAGGCTGTTCTTGAGAACAGCCACTTCCCTGCCATCATGTCAGGCAGCTGAGCGTGGCGGGGAAGGTGGCCATCTGCGCGGGAGAAGCATCGGCTGTCCTGAAAACATCTGACGAGCCCCAGTTTCCACAACCCCAAGGCCTGGAGATGCCACTTCTAGAGGCAGGCTGGTGCGAGTCCTGAAACACAGCCTTGCGGAGAAACTAAGGCCCGCCCGCAAGAGCCACAGCACCACCGTGAGCCACTCGGCACGCACCCAGCTCAGCGACGCTGGCACAGCCAGCTACGTGCACCCACAGCCAAGGGGAGCACAACGGCAGCCACAAAGGAAGACGTTCCGAGAAGCCAATTCCAGGACGCGCGCAGACCCAGCCCCAGACCCGCCGCCCTGCCAGCCTCGCCGGCAACTGGTCCCTGAGAGGTCAAGCGCCCCGTCCACTTGGACAGCCATCATACCTAAAATTAAAGCATCAACAGAAACACAGACTCCCCAGCCCCTTTCAAAGAGGCTGTCCCTGATGAGCCCCGGGAGGGGAGGGCGCGAGGCGGTGGCAGGGAAGCGGGCATCTCTCCAGCTCTCCCTGAAGCCACAGACAAGGCAACCGCTCGTCCCAAGGGGTCTGGTTCTAAGAAAGAAATGTGTTTCCGGTCTTTATTTTATCCCCAACATGCACAAATTTCAAATTATTCTTCATAATGGGTTAAATTATTTACCTTCTTTTCCACCAATCAGACACACCACAGTAATTTGTTGGTTGAGCATCAGCTACCCAGCCAGGTCCCTTAGACTGAGATACCCCAGGGGAAGACCGGATTCCTGATACTGCTCAGCCATGTCACCAGCGGGCTGCTTCCTCACAGGCTAAGCCATCTAACGAGGTGAAGTGCGACGCTTAGATGAAACAGTAACACCAACGACAGCATTCAGGCTCCATCCTGGGTACACAGAAGGTGCCCAGCCCTGCACCCTGTGGCTGCCCCGTGCCCTCCCAGCCATGCCAGGGGAGCCAGTCTTGTCGGGGACATGGCGGACAGCACATCCTCACACACTCTGGGTGCCACACTGCACAGGGGGCAGGCGCGGGGTGGCACTTCACCTGGGGGTAAGCACCGCCTGTGATCTGACCTGGGCAAGCTGTGCAGCCAGGAGCTGATGGAGTGAAGGAGGGTGCGAGGCCCTGGCACATGCAGCAAGAGCCAGCTGACCAGGTCACCATGAGACGGCTACGTGCACATCTCTGCAACGAAGAGCCCTTGGCCAAGGGACTCAGACACAGCTGGAGGCAAACACTCCAGTTGCCATATGAACAAAATAGCCTGTTCGACACCAAGAAGAGGCTACTGAGGAAAACCTGCTCGTCATTTCTTCCTTCTAGGTTTGGCTTATTTCTTAATGACAACAGTCAAGGAAATCGGCAGGTCTGAACTGAGCCAAGCACACTTCCATGCTGACGCCAGGAGAGAGAAGGCTCCCTGGCTGACCGAGTCAGGGCCTGCTCCTACCTTCGACTCCTGCCCACCTCTCCCACTGGCCATCAGAAACTCCGACCAAGAGCAACGCAAGGCACAGAGCCCTCCCAGGCCGCGACCACAGTGCACCGCCCGGCTGCTCGGCTCACGTGAGGCCCAGTACGTCACCCGCCGGCAGCGCCCAGGACACCACGCTCGACTCCGCCAGACGCCCGTCTCCCCGCAACGTCATATTCTCTCACGGTCTTCCTCGGCTCACGAGCACGTCACAGTGGAAGTGGCACTTGGTGGGAAGTGACAGGGAGCCGGGCCCCCGCTGCCTGGCATGACAGGTGTCCACCACAGAGTCCACTGCTCGTGTCACTTTCACATTATCAGAGTGTGGAAAATTTGAGGTCGGACTACAGTGGCCGGGGCCGTCTGTGTTTCCCAACAAAGACACCTTGCTGATGAGCCACGGCTTGGCCAGTGACAGTGACAGCCACAGGGCCCGGGACACAGCAAGGAGCAGCAGCAGGGCACCCCGCCCGGGCGGGACCAGAGCCGGGGAGCCAGCCACACTCGGTAGCTCGGCTGGCTGTGTGAGACCCAATTTTATTTTACTACTTTTTAGTATTTCCCAAAGCTTCATAGACATTTTGAATATTCTGAGCATTTTCAAATCACCTCAGGATAACAATTAATGTGAACCTAATCACTGAGCTAATCATTCTGAACCTTAAAAAAAACTTAAAACACTCGATAAAGGACTGATCACAAAAATATACGGAGAACTGATGAAACTCAACAAAAATGAAGTAAACAACCCCATCAAAAAATGGGCAGTAGAGCTA